TTTAAGCAAGTTTCACAAATATTGCACCATATCCATTTAAGAAAATAAAATATCTCTGTTCACACTGCAAATACCTAATATACCCTAACTTTTAACACTTGATTATTTAGTTTATGCTTACATCACATGGTTAATGTTGTACTTCTACCCTTCTCTCTCTTCCTTTTCCACTATCAAAAATATTGTACGCAACCTATATGGTACGATAATAAAAGAACGGAGGAAGTATAATATTTCAATATTAATAAATTGTTCATTATAATGATTTCAACAAGTACCTAATACTTCCTCTGTTCCACAAATATTACAACAAAGATGAAATTACGCATCCCAAAGCACATTATATTTTATATGTTAAATATCTATAATTATATAAGAGTAAAAATTATAAAAAGTTGATTTTGTGAAAGTATTTTACGAGACGAATCTAACAAGACCCCACATGACTATATTTTACGTTACGTATAAATATAATTTGTGGTCAAACAAGCATGATGAATAGTGCAAAAGTCCAGTTGTTTCAATATTACTAGAACTGAGGAAGTATATATTTTTTTTTCTTATGTATAAATTACTAACATCAAAGCTGGTCATCAGGTGAATAGTACAAAAGGTTTCAATGGAGCACTTAAAAAAACGGATCGAAGTACCAACATAATTGCATGTTGCTAAAATTTACAATCTATCATACTAATATACTAACATAATCCCCAGAACAATTTGTAAATTACACAAGTCAACACCACATAAGAAATTTTCCCATCAAAAATATTGTTCTTTTGTTGTTTTTTTTTTTTATTAAAAAATAAATAATTTCAAGTTAGCTTTAAAGCTTGATATTTAAAAAGAATAAAGAAAATAATTATGCAAGTAGGTGTATTTTTCTGAAATATGTTATATATAATTATATTTATTGACATTCAACCTTTAATGCGAAGGTCTTGATTAGTTACAAGTCCTTAGAAGGAAGGACGGATTTACAAATTTGTTCGCTCAGGGACGTTGTAGTCGTTTTACGGATCGTAAGCCAGCTCTAACGTCACTGTCAAGGGATTGCCGGAAAAGAGCCAACAAAGGTTAGATGTGGAGTCTCCTGCAGCATGTTCGAGAGCAATTAAATGGATTTTCAAGCCTGCATATTCTTGTGATGAGGAAGTTGAGTTTAAGTTTTATTTGTAATCGTTGTAATATTGGATCTTTGCAGTAGCTTAGAGAACTTTTCCTGCCATTTGTAATCCTTCGTTTATTAAGCTCATGTCAAAAAAAAAAAAAAAAATATATATATATATATATTTTCAGAGTTTGATTTTAAAGCTTAGATGATTGTGTAATATTAATTTTTTTATATGTACTACTATTATTTTACTAGGTCACTTAAGAAGGTTTTTTTTGAAATGGGTCTGAGACAAGATTAGAAGAGTGGTGGGGCTAGTAAGGTGAGGATTAAGGGGGTATGGATACCCACGCGGGCCACAAGGGTGAGACGGGAATGGTTTTAGATTAATATCCACTTAGGTGGGGATGGACGTGGGGATAAAAATGTTAGGTGGGGATAAAAATGGAAAACCAAAAGCATCAAGCTCAGATCACCCACCCATTGACATCCCTAATGTGAGGGTATGAGTTGCAACGTTATTCCAACATTTTTTTTGTTTGTGAAGAGTCAATATATATTGACTTAATATGTGTGTATGACATGCGTTCATGCCTAGATGTATTGTTGTTGTATCATATCATTTGTTGTCAGGTCATAATGACACGTAAAGAAATGATATGCATGGTCATTATGTAGATATTCAAATTGAGCAATTAAGCTCATATGTATAGTAAAAAAATAAAATATAATAATTATAGTGATGTCATGATACGTGCAAAGACAAGTAGTAATCATGTTGATATACACCTTTGTTATTCTTATACCCTCTAAAGATGCATTTAGTAATTAAAGCTAGGAAGAGCACAATAATGTGAAATAATGTGGAGCCAACGAACAAGTAGGAAGAGGAGACAAATCCACCACTGTTGTTTACACAAATCTTTCCCATCATTTTCACATCAATTACTTCTCATTTATAAAAGTTGAACTGGCCACCTACAATTACTACTATTCCCTAATTTAAAGCGCCCTTTGATTCTCGACTTTTGTCCGCAAATTATTACATACACTGGAGTGTGCATGCAATGTCTTGTGGCCAGGGTGTTATGTGATTAACGTTTTTAGGTGCACTTGGGTGCATGATATACGTGTTTTTTTTTCAAGTTCACCATAGGTTTGAGGGAGTTTAAGAGATGTCAACAATTTTTATCGAGAAAATAGAAATTTATCTCTAAGATAAATACTTTTTGTTTATCACATGACATTTTCGTAAATAAATTAATGACATTTTTCTTAAAAGCGGGTCCACAATAATGATGATTGGATAAAATTGTTGATTTATTTACCAAAATGGCAGAGATTAACATAGACTTCCTCTTTATACCCTTGTCATATTGTAAATATTTTTTAATTCTAAGTTGGTGGAAGAGATATCAACAAACAAGTGTTCATTGTTTTCCAGTATTCATTCCATTAGAGTAGCATTCTTGATCATATACTAATTTAAGATGCCTTAAAAGAATGAAAAATAACTATATTTATGGTTATTTTTCAAGCATACTCACTCTCAAATGGAGTTTTGAAGAGGGAATGGAAAGCCAGAAAGGAGCTATCCTTTGTTGGGGGGCATTAAGTGTAGGGAGCATTAAGTTGTTGGAAAATTATGTCTTGATTTCAAACCAAACATCGGAAATATTAATTTGATGACAAGCGTGAAATTCAAATTGTTGTAATAATGAAAAAGAGAAATGTGTATCCAAAAAAAGGAAGAAATAACAGGTCGCTGATGTAGTGTAGAGTTTTCACAACATAATAAAAAATATACTATCTTCGTGTTTTTTAGTTGACACCTTTGACTTTTACACTATTTATAATTATACTTTAATTAACTTTTGTGATTTATAACTACGATAAAACATAGTCAAGTAGGATCTTATTTGAATCGTCTCAATGTCTAGTTTATTAATACCCACTTTTTATAATTTTACAATGTTGAGAATTAGAGATATTAATCATTAAATTAGTGCATTAACAAGCGTAATAAAAAAAAAGGTGTCAACTAAATAAAAACTAAGGTAGTATAATAATAGTTAAATATTGTTCGTTTAAGTTCAATTGAATTGAACTGAACTGAAATAAAGTGAAAAAATAAATTGAAAGAAAAATAAGTCTCAAAGTTGCATGAAGTTTAACATTATGAGCATGAATTGAAAAAAAAAAAAAAAAATCAGTACTCCCTCCGTCCCTTCTTTATATTCTTATTTCTCTTTATTATATAAGTAATAAATATTAAAAATAGACATATAAATATGGGACGAAAAGAGTATCAGATACGGTGTAGCATTAAAGGGGCACAAAAAGTGAGGAATAATGCGAAAGAAAAACAATAACATCACAAGAGACGATGTGGAGTAAAAATAGGAGTAGAGATTTTGACAAACTTTAACTATTAATAATGATGAATCTAACTTAACTAACCAAAAACCATTTAATGATGTTTTAGACTTTCAAAATCTTCTACCATTGCTTAAACCGTACACCCCAAATAATCATGACACATTTGACCAACTAGATGGCTATCATATAATATAGCTATGATGTCTTGATAAGCCTACTAGCCAGTCATTGTTCGCTTCTTTAGAGTTCAATTGAGTTTTGGCTTATTTTAATTTTTTGGCTAAATTAACTTGTGACTTGTGAGGGTTCCCGGCAATGCCCCGAAATTTGCGAGTTTCCCCGGCAATGCCTCACTGGGAGTCACTGTCTCGATCAGATTTGTTGTTTTTAATACTCTCTCCGTTTCGTATTAATTACAACATTAAAATGTTGACAAAGTTTAAAAATATTTATAGAGTAGGATTTAAAAGAGGATTTTTTATAATATAAAGTATTGTTAGTAGGAGAGAGAAATAATAATAATAATTAAAAAAAAAAATAGTGTAAGTGGGTTGATAGGAAAGAAAAATAATAAAATATTTATAAAAGTGATGTTAATGAGAGAGAAAAATTATAAAATAATTGTGAGTGCTTTTCAAATATAAAAGTGTTGCAATTAATATTACAAGGTATAAAGTATAATATCCATAAAATCACTAACTAAAATGACAATAGAAACCCCAAATCCAACAAACCAAGCCCCCTATTTTTTCCGCAAATACTAGCTTTCCCCTATCAACAGAGATCCGACGGGCCGCCGGCGATTTGAGTGGGTTGGCTTGTTCCTTGATCACCGGCGTGCCCCTCTGTCAAGCCACACCGTCTACGGTGTTCGTAGCGTCGAGCCGCCGTACCTAGCTTTAAGCTTTCTCTTGTGCTTTCGCGGACGAACGTGGTGGTGGTAGTGACCCAACATCCAACTTGTTAATTCCCACCCCTACAGTAGCTGCTAACCGCCCTAAGCGGTAGTTTTCTATTCCTTTTGTTGACCTGGGTTTTCACTGCCGGTGGTGGAATTCCCCCCCTTCGTGGATCTTTAATTTTTAGTTATTCATCTATGCTTTAGTTCCCTTACCTCAAAAAAAAAAAAAAAAAAAAAAAAAAAAATTTAAACGAAGGTTTATAATCAAAGTGGTTCTTTTCGTAGCCTTCCGCCGATCTTTCTGTTTTTTTAGTTGTTGGGTAATTTTACCCTTCCATTGCTCTTAGAGCACTCACAACCATGAGCAAAATATTTACTCATGGGCATATTTTGTGAGCAAAAAATATGCTCATCACCCACAATAGTGAGCAAATCCAAAAATGCAAGAAAAAGCCCATGGGCATAAATGAAAATGCCCAAAGTATGGGCATTTTAATTGATGAACAGTGCTGGAAGTGGGGCCCACATGTTGCAAATAAGCTTAAAAAAATTTGGCTGCCAGACCATCAAAACGACGCGTTTTGGCCTAGCAGCCTTAATGGAGCTGGCCAAAACGCGTCGTTTTGACGTAAAAAAAAAATAAATAAATAAAACCGGCTACTGTTCGCGTCAGTAAGCCAGCCAATAGGCGCGCGACACGTGGCGTACTGCAGGAGCTTGGCCAATGAAAAAATTAGCCGTTTTACAACGGTAATATTGTTTGTAATGCATTTTCTGAAAAATATTTTTGGTAAAAAAAAAAAAAAAAATTTACCAACGGTCATAAAATTAAATTCTCTATAAATAGACATGCATTTTTATATATTTTCGAAATCACTTAAAATCCTCCACTTTTTTATTTTCTTAAGCATTTTAAATTTGTTGAAGAGCATTTTTGTTGCAACACACCCATATTGAGGTAATTTTTTTTTTTTATTATTATTTAAATTCAGTTATGTAATAAAATTAGTATATATGTGATTTTTTGAAAAAAAAAATATTGTATGCCATGTTGTTTAATTGCATTATGTAATTGAAGAAAGTTGTTGATATGTTCTCCATACATTACTAAATTTGTAGTAAAAAAAGTGTTGCATTTATTGGTTACTTTTTTTTTCTAATATTAAGTTATGTATTAAAATTAGTATATGTGTGTTTTTTTGAAAAAAAAAATATTATATGCCATGTTTACTTAATTGAAAAACCCAATTGAAGAAAGTTGTTGATATTTTCTCCATACATTACTAAATTTGTAGTAAAAAAAGTGTTGCATTTATTTGATATATTTGCTTTTTTTTCTAATATATAAATTTAGTTATGTATTAAAATTATTATATGTGTGTTTTTTTGAAAAAAAAAAATATTGAAAACCATGATGTTTAATTGCATTATGTAATTGAAGAAAGTTGTTGATATTTTCTCCATACATTACTAAATTTGTAGTTGCAAAAGTGTTGCATTTATTGGTTACTTTTTTTTTTTCTAATATATAAATTTAGTTATGTATTAAAATTAGTATATGTGTGTTTTATTGAAAAAACTTATGTTGAATGCCTTGTAATGTAATTGCATTATATAATTGAAGAGAGTTGTTGATGTTTTCTCCATACATTACTAAATTCGTAGTTAATAAAGTCTTCCAATTATTGGTTAATTTTTTTTTTAATATATAAATTTAGTTATGTATTAAAATTAGTATATATGTGATTATTTGAAAAAAAAAATTATCTTTTGTAAAAAATTAGTAAATTTTAGTACAAATATTTATCTTTTGTTTTGTGATGCAGAATCTTTTAATGGATCCAAACAACCCAAATTTCCGCCAACAATTTTCTGGTTTTAGTGATGATTTGCTAACTAATCCCGAGTTTCAATTGTTCTTGCAAAGAATGGGCAATACGTCTTTGCAACCATCTCCACAGTATCAGACACCCACTCAGTTTCCCCTACGAAACCATTTTATTGAAGAATGTACACCTGAAACTGTACATGATAGCAACACACAATTCAATGAGAGCGAAGAGGACAGCGTACCAGAGACGCCGCAATATCCTCCACCAGTTCCCGAACTGAAATCCAACCAGGTTGTTGCACGAGCGACTCGAATTTGGTCAGTTGCGGAAGATGAAACTCTGATTGGGTTGTACTTGGAGATCAGCGAGAATGCTATTAAAGGCACGAGCCAGAAAGCAACTTCCCTTTGGCGCGATGTACACGCAGCATATCAACTTGCTCATGCGGAGAAGCCGCATATACTTCCACCAAGACCTATGAAGAGTCTGACGTCGCACTGGAGAAGGTTGGCAGCAGACACACTACAGTGGATATCTTGCTATGATGAAGCAGGTAGACTTCCGGAGGGAGGGAGTGGTTACAACGAAGCTGACCGTATAAAAAGTGCGTCGAAGCTTTTCCATCTCGCCCAAGGTCGTAATTTCGCTTTTCCTCACGCTGTTGAAATGCTTAATAGAGATCCAAAGTGGAGGCCAAAGCTGAGATGGTCCTTGTCAAAGGAGGAAAGAAAAGCTGTTCGTGATGTTGAGGAGCAAGGTAGTGCTGGAAGTGGGAAGAGGTCCAGAGATGATGGAGGGGATGAAACCCCTACGGATGGTTTTTCATCTGGAGGAATACAACGACCCGAAGGTGTGAAGAAAGCAAAGGCCAAGCGTAAAGGGAAAGAAGTAGCTTCGGACAGTGGTTCGTCTGAGCTTAGCGAACGAATGAAGGAATTGGCAACAATTCGCGAGAGGGAGGCCATTCTGAAGGAAGAGCGGATCAAAATTGAAAGGGAGAAGGAACAGAGGAAAAGGGAGGAACTTGACATTCATAAGATGAAAACCTGGTTTGATATGGTGCAAGCTATGAAGAATTCGCCTACGCCACTCACTCCTGAAGAAGAGTCGTACAAGAATTTCTTCCTGAACTTGACATGCGCAATGTAGTCTTTTATGTTTAACATGTATTAGTGGTGTGTTTAATTTCACTGTCATATGTAAACTTGTATTCTGATTTTCCAATATTGAATGACAAGTTGTTTAACAAGTTGATTTCAGTTGTCATTGTTACCGACATAGTTGCATTCAATTGTTGTCATTGGGTAGTCACTTTTTTTCTGATTTCACTTTAACTTTGGGTCATTCATGGCAACAAAATTGCAATAACTCTTTATCATTCAGTAGTCACATTTTTGTCATTGTGTAGTCACATGTTTCTGAATTAACTTTGTCAGTATGCTTTAACTTTAGGTCATTCATACCGACATGGTGTAGTCACTTTTGTTCTGAATTCACTTTGTCAAGATTTGTCATTGTCAACTAGCATAGTATACCTATTCCGTGGCTGAAAATTTGAACGCTTTAGTTGGTGTGGTCATTCAGATTTGCTATATATAGTAGGCATGGCACATATCCACAACCACACCAATTAAGAAAATTACAATATTAATACATGATGTATTCCAGACCATCATCAAGTTCAAGTTCAAGTTCATCTTCTTCCAATAATGAAGAATATGATCAACTCGTTGATGAACTCTTCACATACCAACCCACATCTTTCCTCATGCCCCAAACACAATCCCAACGTACTTCAAAATCACGTAGAGGGGGTACGAACAGAAGAGATTGGGAAATGGGACATGCCAGGCTGTTCAATGATTATTTTTCCGATAATCCTGTGTACAATACCACCCAATTTAGAAGAAGATTTCGTATGCAACGACCTTTGTTTTTACGTATAATGAACAAGGTCGTTGAAGGTGATGTTTACTTCCAGCAGCGTAGGGATGCAACTGGAAAGTTAGGCATATCACCTCTGCAAAAATGTACAGCCGCGATACGAATGTTAGCCTATGGCATGGCTGCAGACGCTGTTGATGAATACGTTCGAATCAGTCAGTCAACCGCTCGAGTTGCCCTACAACGTTTTTGTGCCGGGGTCATTGACCAGTTCGGAACCGAGTACATGCGAAACCCTACAACTGATGAATTGGCCCGGATACTGCATCAAAATGAACTGCGTGGTTTTCCAGGCATGATAGGCAGCATTGATTTCATGCATTGGGAATGGAAGAACTGTCCAACGGCTTGGAAAGCGCAGTACGCCGGTAGGAACAAGAAAGCAACGCTAATACTGGAAGCCGTTGCGGATCAGTATTTATGGATATGGCATTCCTTCTTTGGTATTCCCGGATCTTGTAATGATCTTAATGTGTTGTACCGTTCACCAGTGTTCGATGAGGTTCTGCATGGTCGAGCTCCTCCGGTAAATTTTATGGTTAACGGCCATGAATACAACATGGCTTATTATTTAGCCGACGGCATTTATCCGAAGTGGGCAACTTTTGTTCAGGGTATCACATTCCCTCAACTGGCCAAAGATAAAATGTTCGCTGACCACCAGGCTGCCGCTCGAAAGGACGTTGAAAGAGCTTTCGGTGTGTTGCAAGCTCGATTTGCAATAATACGAAAACCATCGCTGGCGTACGATGAGGACATACTGCGGGACATAATGAAAACATGTATCATTATGCACAACATGATTGTTGAAGATGAGCGCCACAACTACACTCGAGCCGAAGTTCTAAGAGCCTTCTACGAAGAAGATCAACAAGAATCAACACCAGCATCAACATCTACAACGCCACCGTTTGAATTCAACGTAGGCCGACCTACCAACTTTGATTTCAACGCATTTCTACAGCGAAAAGCTTCCCTCCGTGACAGAGAAATTCATCTATCTCTGAAACGTGATTTAGTCGAACATATTTGGCAACACTACGGGCCACGTAATTAGGGAGAAATTAGCACGACTTAAATAAAGCCAAGTACTATGGCGTAGCTACTTTTACTTGTTGTGTTTATTTTATTTCCTAAGTTTAATTACGCATGACGTTGCAAATGTAATTGGTTTCCAGTATTGTACCGCTTTTAAAATAAATAAAAACATTTAAGAAATTTTGAGCTTTTTTTAAATTTTTTTTTATATAACGTACTTAATTTTACGACAAATTTTAACGATAAAAAGGACAAAAATAAAAAAAATAAGTTACACAAATTTTAACTAGTTTTTATTTATTTGGAGTAACATTGTTAAAATATAAATGAAATAAATAAATAAAGAAGTGTTGTGTAGGAGAGAGAAAGTAATGGTGGGGTATTGAAAAAGTAAGAGAGAGAGAGTGGTGGGTGGGCAATTTTTTTGCTCACCATTGGGAGAGAATATGTGAAAAAAATTTGCCCATGAGCAAAACTTATTTCTTGAGAGAGAAAGTGGGTAGAGAGAGAGTGGGTGAGCATTTTTTTTGCTCACCATTGAGAGTGGTCTTAAGTAAGGGTTTCGATCTTGTTGTTTCTTTCTTCATCTCTTTTGTGGTTAAATGGATTGCAAAAAATTACCTAATGCCCTTATGCATGCTCACTTGAACGATAATTATGATGAAAGCATTGTTAATTTTGCTACAAATAATTGCCCCCGGAACATCCTTAATCAAGCAAAGGTCTTGCAAGAGGAGGGCAATATTCTCTTCAAGAAAGGTGAAATCGTTCTTGCTGGGGCTAAGTATGATGGAGGGTTGAAATTCCTGTGCGTTGGTCTGCCAAGAAATGAAGATGATTGTGTTTTTCTATGAAACCTTGCCATATCCCTTGAATTAAACCTTGTAGCTTGCGCCCTAAAGGTTCGTGATTATGAACAAACTAAAGAGCTCTGATCGTTAGTCATCATGCTTGATGGTAAAAATACTAAAGCCTTTTACGGAAGGGCTTTAGTCGAAATCAAGCTCTACCAACTTGAAGAGGCCCATAAAGACCTTGGCAAAGCAGCCTGAGCCTAACAATCAGGACATCCTTCGTGAGATGGAGAGGTTAGAGGGGTTAAGACGCAAAGCTAACAACCCCAAGGGCAAGAAGGGTACTGAGGATTCCAACCTGTCCCACACCATCTTCAACAAAAAGGGAAGGATCAACAAGCCTTCAGTCAGTCAAGATTCTAACAGGTTGTCGAGTAGGTATGTTTAGAGTGGTGTTACCAACTTACCCACCATGGATGCTACTAGTGAGTTGATGGTAGAGAGCCTTATTTCTACAGTCAATGTTCTTACCCCTTTGGAAAAAGGGGACGATGATGCCACTAGCCCCCCAAACAACCAGGATTCTAGACAAGCTAAGGACAAGGGATCGAGCAAAATCCATATGTTCTTTAATGGATCGAGAAGTAATAAGTCCCTTAGGATTCTGATTTGTCTTATTCGGAGCTCAGTCAAGGGAAAACCCTGAGTTTCTTCAAACATTTTGCTGTTTCATTGATGACCGTACGAGTGAAGGAAAAGACCACCCATGATGGGCATCCTGATTCTCACAAGGAAAGGGAATCTAAAGGTCCAGAAACCTTGTTCATGCCCACTATGATGGTGGGTCCGAAAAAGAGGAATCGCACCAGAAAGAGCTAAAAGAAGAAGGTCAAGCGATCTCTGGACACCGCCGTGCTCAGCCATGATGTTGGCCTTCCAAAGTCCAACACCGCTGTCATTGAGAAGTTAGATGATCATATATCTACTGGCCTAACTTCTAGCAGCAATGAAGGTTCAAGTATGAAGTACAAGCGAGAGATTTAACTACCACTAATATTGATGAAGTGGAATCCGTAGGCTCTAATGATGAAGACCCCATGATGTTTGTAACCCCAACCCCGCTTTAGTTCTTGTTTTAGTATGTTTAAGAGAATTAAACACTCTCCTTGTAGTCTTGAGTCAGTTGGGAGCTAGTCTCCTTTTTGGACCGTTGTCAAAAAAAAAAACCCAACATTAGCAATCTAGTCTATTTATTGCTTCGCTTGCCAGTATATATGTCGAATGCTCTAATTGTCGAACTTGTTGAGAAGAGAGTGGATAACTGTGATCAATGATATGCTCAAATTGCCACGGAATTGATCGGATGCCTTTAACAAAGTTGATTGGTAACAGATTGTCACCTTTAATATGAAAGTTTCTTATCCCATGCTCGAGGGCGAGAAGAATGCCTTTGTAAAGAGCTGTAGCTTCTGCTAAAAAGACCTTGGGTTGATTTTGCTAAAAGGAGAGAGAAAATTGAACGGAGGGGATTAAAAGTTGTGGTGATAGGGTGGTGGTTATGAGAGGGATGAGAGACAATGGTGGTGGTGAGGAGGAGAGAAAACAATGGTGGCGGTGGTGGCGCAAGTGAGAATAATGGTGGCGATGAGGGAGGAGAAAGAAAAATAAGAAGTCAATGCCGAAAAACGTGACGTTAGAAAAGTAAGTCAAGGTTTTATCTTGCAAGAAAAAGTAAATTGAAATTTTTGTTTGCCAAAAATTATTAAAAGATTTTTTTTTTCTTCGCAAATGGTGCTTTTTTTTTTTGACAAATTATCCTTTGTTTTATGCAAGGAGACCATTAGCAGTTCAGGTTAGGATTTCAGCAGCGCCTTTTTCTTTTTTATTTCATTAAAATGCTACAAGGACATTAATGCAATGAAAAGAAAATTTGATCAATCTCATATTTTGAGTACCACCCTAAAGACTTTAACAAACAAAGTTAATTAGCATCTACGCATAAAATCTTGGTCTAATATATGGTTAAGATTGGACCAAGATTGAAGACCTACCTACATCAGATGGCAGATTACCATATTCAAATTCTCCATCCTTATTTGTATTGCCAATTTGACTCGTTTGTAAAAAAAATAAAAAAAATAAATTCATATTGTGAATGTTGTGACTAACCTTTGAAGTGGGTTGAGGATCATGGAGATGGAGGGATAGTTACATCTCCCCCACAAGTGACGTGAGTTCGATTCCTCAACCCACCTTCTGTGATAGGAGATGCCCCCCCTCCCTGCGGTATCTTACCTGTAGAGAAAAGAAAAAAAAAAAAACCTTTGAAAGGGGTTTATAATAAAATATTAGTACGGTGTATCTAATTAATATCTATTGTTATTGAATTAAAATTAAATGTCGTCTTCTCTCTCAATTAATACTAAGATACGGGACGCATCTGCACAATTTTTGAAGAAGATTAAAGGCTTATTTAAATTTAATGTATTA